AAGAGAAAGCACACATGTAGCCGTAGTTCTCCACTAGACAACTAGCCTTATGCTTCTGCGGTCTAACGGTCCTACCATTTGGCAACTTGTGTATCAACACCTTCCTATCCCAATCAAACAGAGGTTGCGCGACCTCGAGGTAGTACATGCCTAGTAGCATATCGAAGGGCAGTTCGTCGCTGACGAGGAATGAGATTTTATGTCTCACTTCCCCTCCTCCATAAGAGAAGGAACAGACTACATCCTTGACATAGTCCTTAACTACCATTTGGTGCTTGTTGGTTAGCGTAGAAGCTACAGTTCTGCTAAGCCGCTGCACTTGGTCCCCTAAGCGCAACCTATCCACACAAGCACGACTAATGAAGTTTCGTGTAGAGCCTATGTCTGCGAAGGCGCCAACTTTACGGCCACCTACATCAACCTCTACCACGAAATGTTCACCCTTTGGACCTCTACTGATCATCGCCCAAGAGTCTCTGGGGTCCTTCACTGACCACTCAGTCTCTAATTCTTATAGGGCCTCCGACACATCTCTCGAATAGAGCGTCAGTGGGTCTGAATGTGTCTGCGGGGCGATACGTGGGTCACTAGCCCTGGCCAACGCCTGAAGTGGGGAAGGCAACGTTACCACTTCAGGGCGAGTAAGAGCGGCTAAAACTCCTACTGCCCCTAGGTGTTTCCGTGCGAAGTGCTCGCAGAAGCACCGCCAGAGTTCGAGGATAGTCCCACCACCGTTGGAGAGGCTACCCTCGTTAGGACTTTCTTACCTCGACACATTCTGGACATGTGGCCATAGTTGCCACAATTCATGCACGTACCCCTAGCAACTCAGGTCCTCCACACCTCATACTCTAAACCAAGTTTCACCCAGGCGGGCGTACCTTGGTCGCCCTGACGCGTGGACCGTACTACCTTCTTTTTCCCGGTCCCCCTAACCTTTTCCTTGATGGGTGCCACGACTCCCCCATCTGAAGTCCCGCTGGCCCCATCTTGCTCTGTCTCGTCCCCAAGGTCTGTGAAGTCGTCAATTTATGTCGTCTGACCATCATGGTCGACGAACATTAGTTGCCCTTTCTTCTTCCAGTTCTAGGGTAGTCTCTTCTTCCTACCATCTCCTTGACTCTGATGCGCAGATCCCAACTTTGCCTCTATGTCTAACGCCTTCTTGCTGAAGGAAGCGAAGTTGTGCTGTTCGACATAGGCCTCGTCTACGAGTTTTGTCCTAACCTCTGAAGGCAGACATCTAAGGTAATCCGTGAGGATTACCTGCTGGTCACAGCGCACACCAGGTACCACAAGCAGACGTTCTACGGTATCCGTGAGTTCTCTAACATTCTTGTACCGTCTGGCACAAAGATTGTTGATTGCGTTTGTGGCCTTTTGAGCCCCTTGAGTGTCATGCCACCTATTATACACAGACCGTACGAATTCTTCCAATGTCTAGGCCTGGGTCCAGGCATCGAAGTTTTGACCGTAGCCTTGCTGCTGCACTGGGCCATTCAACCAGCAGGCTGCTGACCCCTCTAGAAAGGAGGCAGCCACTACAACTTTTTCCTTCGGCCTGGTAAGCTTGTGCCTCACATAGGTAGGCACCGTCCTTACCCAGGTATCCAAGTCCTCATCCTTCTTCCTGTCGCCAGAGAAGGGTTTAGGACTCAGCAAGGGTATTTTGGGCATCCATTGCATAGGCTGCATTGGCCCAGGGGATTGTTGCAGTGGCTGCATAGCCACCAAAACAGGTTGCTGCACACTAACCTGGGCCTGGCTTGACAGTGGGACTGTAGTAACCATTGTCGTCGCTGGTACGGCAGAGACTCTAAGGACCGGACCACTAGTCGCCACATAACCACCTGGAGGAGGCATGCCAAACATAGGTGAGAATGAGGGCCCAACCAGCGACGACGTCATTGATGGACCCGCAACCGATGGGGGAGCTACAACAAACTGAGGCTGCCTCATCACTGGACGAGGAGCCTGTAGTGCAGCCAGAATTCGTTTCTGGCTTGCCACTAGTTCAGCCAACACCTCTTGCTGAACAACCTCCGTCTTCGCCACACACAAGAGCGAATCTCGCAGTGCTTGCATAGCGGGATCTAATGTGGACTCATCTAGTGCCTCCAACTTGCCTAGTTCCTGCAATCTACTAGCTAGTCTAGATTTTCTTATGATTATCCTTCTTCTCTCTGCTGCCTCATCCAATTGCCGTTGTAGCTCATCCTGAAGTTCTTTTGCTTGGAGGATCTCATAATCCTCCGGCGTGAGTTGAGCCTGCTGGCTGACTTGCAAGCTAGCACTCTGGCTAACAGAAGCCTGCGAACCACTCTGACTGACTCCTGACGAAGTGGCCTGTGTAGCCATGGTCGTACCGGTACTAGTTGTAGTTCTAGACCTGGCGCTGGCCTCAGCCACCCCCGCTCTTCTTGCCGTTGTTCTCTCTCTAGCCTCTCTCCGCAGTCTTCTCTCGTCTCCTGGACCTAACTCTAGGAACGTCAAGGGTCGACTGAGAGCAGTTTTTCGAGTGACCCTAAGGTCATCCACTAACAACTCCTCACTACTGCTTGCATCACTCATGAGCTACAGTGTGTGTAATCTAAACTAGAATCCACATTGAATCCTACCTCAGCATGACACACAACCGATTTATGATAAACAACTAACTTTGGTCGGCCTGGACAGAAACAGTTAGGTGGTTAGGTGTCAACCACTGTCATATCCTACAGGTAAGTTTTAATCCAACTTTTAGATTACTCTTACATAGATAGGTGGTTAGGTGTCAACCACTGTCAGATCCTACAGGTAAGTTTTAATTCTTCGGTCAGCCTGGACAGAAACAATTAGGTGGTTAGGTGTCAACCACTATCAGATCCTACATGTAAGTCTTAATTCTATTTTTAGATTACTCTTACACAGATTGCAATGCAGCAAGGAAAGAACTAACCTATCTGCAGCTGTCTGTCAGTTGTTAACAAGTCTGTGACAACTAAATAATCAAAAATAAAAATAACCTACCTGTTGAGATGCATGCTGGATGGTAGATTATCTAATAATGTTACCGCAAACAGTTACCGAAATCACCCCTCTCCCTGTGTCCTTCTTGAGTTGTCACTTTGTGTCAACGCCCTGAGCATTTGGTTGAGCAGTGTGTCTAAAGGTAAGCAATCCGGCCCACCCCTGTGCCCCAAGTCAACGCCGAACCTGCCAGCCCCCTGCACTTTATTTATCCTCGCATGCAACGAGCCTTACACCCAGTTTGATCTGGCTGATCAGGAGGCATTTAACGAGATCCTCTGCAACTCCTCAGGAATTATTTAACGTCGCAGACAGGACGACGATCACAGCCAGAATCAACACCGAGTCCTCACCAGAAATATTTAAAGACGGTCTGGTAAGTGTTTGTTCAAAGGGTTGGCATGCCCTACATGACCTCTATTGCGCAGCAGCGGAACCAAGGACTTGCGGCAAAGCATGCGTGTACTAGTCCCAGCGGGTTGGCATGGAGACCGTGAAGAATGTCGACTCTCAAGGTTGAGCGCTCGCGACACCTCACATCGAGAGGACTCTCAAGACAGAACTCACTTCCTCACGGTAAGAAGCAATGAAGAGGGTAGATAAGGAAGGAAGCAACGTAGCTCATAATGTTGTCCCCAACCATAGATTTCTCACCAGCAACCTGATGTGCATTTATGATGACTGGTCTTTGCCTCAGCACAACCAACAGCAGAATGCAGTTCCACCTCGGCGTAAATGCCACATCAGTGAGCTCTAATCATCCAGCGTACACCCCTAATGTCACCACTTAGCTTCCCTGCGCGCCCACACGACCCTGGGCCGCCTTACGTTCAACGCCCAAGCCTTATAACTGCCGCACACCTCATGCGAAGCACCAAACAGCTATTGCGAAGAACCAATGAGCGCAGTTCGAACCAGCTCCGATACCAAATTGCAAGGAAAATGAACAGAAGCGAGATGACAATATTCAGATTGCACAATCACATTGAAAGCCAGACCGTATCACAGTGTTCAGAAAGCAGCATTG